TCCAGCTCCTGACACTGCAAAATGTGACCTACTGTCCTAAGGAGGCTAACAGGGACACTCCCTTCCCTAGTCAGTTCCCTGATAGAGCTATGAGAACACGCATGGTTTACCTGTGAGGTCACTCCATCTTCAGCTCTCCTGGAATGGAAGTGTTCACAGCTCCATTTTTTTTTTAAATGAGAGAAGGAGGCACAGAAGCGTTGGGTATCAGGCTGCTCAGGTGCAGAAACAGGGTCCTTATCCCTCTCCAACCTTTGATTAAGTGTTCCATCAGCACCGAAGATAATGACTAGTCCCAGCAAAGCTGTTTCAGCTGGTGCTTATTCTCTAAGCATCTTTCCTGTCTCCCCAGCGATAGCCACAGCTCTTGGCTGTTCTTACCTGGGTACGTGCATGAAGTTCCTTCAGCACTGATGCTATGGCAAAACATGGTAGATGTAGGAATGTACGCATTTTCCTAGGAAGAGAACCTAGTGTTTTTTTAGCAAAGGCCCTTGGACCTTGGAAATGATATATAGGTCTGAGAGCAGAAGACAAAGATAATCCTAGCCATCCAGAAAAGAGGAGGAGCAGAAAGCTCTGCTTCCACTGTGAGTGCCGTCAGCATACTCTGACCTCAGTGTATCAGCTTTTTACTTGCATGCAGCTGAGTGTTCTCCATAGAAATGAAGTGAGGGACACAGCAGAGGTAAGGTCCAAATGCAAAATGTCTGCCAGTCTTGGCCAGTCATTATCAGCATTGGCTGGGGGGGGGGGGTCCAAATGGTTCTCACAGACTTTTAATAATCCTGTTTTAGTTGGTCATATGGCATTCCTGGGGAGGATAACTTGGGGACAGCCATATCTCTATTGCTGAGATAGTTCATGGTAGGGATGATAGCACCCATAGCGAAAGAGAATCTCCCACAGCACTCCCAGTAGATGAGAAAGAAGCTCATCCTTGCGGGACAATTAGAATGGCAGATACTGAAGCATCCTCCAATGTCTCCACCTTTGGAAGAGTAGTAAAGATTAAGCGATGTAAACCTACCCACGTGTCCATTCATCTATCCCTTAACATTTATTATGCACATCTTATGAGCCATCCCAGTGTAATAAGTACCTGTGGTTTAAAGGGGTGGGGAGGGGGAAGGCATGTAGAAGTCTGGGGGAGGATAGAGACACACTGGTGAATAATTAGAATGTCATTGTTGAAAGAGAATCAAATGTCAAAACTTACCCGTCTAGAGGTAAGAGGGGGGACATCGAAGGAGGACCAACTCTTCCCACAGGCACTGAATGAGTCCCGAGTCCACAGGGAGGAAAAATGTGTGGGTGGAAGACTTGTGCAAAAAGAGAAGGATCCTGTGAGAGGCACAGTGGCCTGAGAGGACATGGTGACAGTGTGGATGGGGTGGAGAGGTCATCCAGAGGCAATAATTGTGAACGGACCTCTTCCCAAAGCCCCGGAATCATTGAGGGGTTCTGAGCAGAGGACTGGCAGGGAAATACCAGCATTTCAGGAAGGGAGCTCTGACAATGAACATCGTGGAAAGAATGGAGAAGTCACGGGAGGCTCAAGGGAAGACTCCCAGATGCTATTATAGGCCAGGATCAGGCATGCATAGCAGGTGCCTAGTGGTCCTCAAACCACAGGTCACTTTCCCACCTGAGTGACCTTCTCCACATGTGAGGATTAGTCCCAGCACATGGATCATCTGCTAGGCACATGTGATGGTCCTCTGAGCAGCTGCCTGTCCCTCAGCCTCCCAACGACCTCCACTTCCCAAGTGTAAATTACTATGTAAACTACTGCACTCTCAAGTACGGGCTGGTCTTTATTGGTGCCCTGGGCCCTGTAGACATAGGGGCCTAATGTCACATGGGTACAAAGCTGTCAAAGCTGTCTCAGAGCCCTTCCTTTTGGCGCCACCCACATTCTACTTTTTTTGGCCTTTTCACATGAGTGGCCAAGACCAAGGAAGAACCTGGCGAACAGTTCCACTCACATGCTAGCAATGTCCCAGGCAAGTGCATTGTCCCTGGACCTCAGGGAGCTCAGCCTCACCTAGACACCCTCTAGACTCCCAGAAATGAGACTGTAAGGAAGCCATTTTGTTTTCAGAATGAATGAAGGACCCACATTTATAGAACCCCTTTTAAGGCTAAGCTGCTTAGAACCTGCCCCACTGAGGAGCTGCAGAGACATAGCCTATGTCCTGGAAGAAGCATTACATGTGTACATACAAGGGGCTGCATACCTAAGATCATAGCCCCTAGGCTGGAGTCCTCCTCCATCAGTAACAGTATAACAGGATGGTTCCAGAATGAAAATCGCAGCAATATCAACCTAAACAGGGCATAGGGCCCATTCGGCTGATATTCAGACACAAATAAAGGTTCTGAGCATGCAGAGCTCTTCTGCTCCCTAGCCAAGGATCCAATTCACAGGTTTACCCAATGGACTCTGGACAAGGCCTATCCAGGGAAGGTCACATAGCAATGGGTACAACAAGGAGCCTACATGGAGGCCCTGAACACAGAGGGGCCAACAATGCCAGGGGTGATAGTGCTCAGAACAGGACCTGTTCTCCACGCACAGATCGGGAGCCAGATAAGCCTCAATGAAGCCAGTCCATCTGGAGGGCTGACAAAGGCCATATGTTATATGGAGAACCTGTCACTCAGTTCTGTGAAGGCTGGCAGAAGACCAAATGGGGACAGTACCTTCTAGTTCCGAGTGTTTATTTCATGCTGCATGGTTCTGGCTCAGAAACAAACAATTCCCTCTATTTATTTAAGCCCCACTGTGTGTCAGTCACTGAATGTATGCTTTACCTAATCCTGTGCCAAACTTTTGCCAGGTACTTATCCATTCTGTAGATGAACAGATAGAGCAGCAAAGATGGTGGGTAACGGGGCCAAGGTCACAGAGCAGAATTATAATTCATACTTCCTGACACTCTCTAATCTTGACCATGTTGGCAAGGGCAGGTCAGGGGGTTCAGGGCCACCCCCAGTCCTGTTGCTTATAGGTGAGTTCAGGGAAGGAAGACAAGGCTAAAAGCTATCGCCCAACCTATGATGTCATTGGCACAGCACAGCCATCAAAGGATAGCAACTCTGTGAAACCTCTTCATAGGCACATGTCAACAACCAAAGAAAGCAATCGGCAATGTAGCCCTGAGCAGCCCCCCAGTTCTCTAGAACATGAAGTGGCCCTGGGTGTCAGGGCTAAGACTGAAGCAAGGACATGCTGGAGAAGAGAGGGTGAGAGAGTGACCCTGCCAAGCCCTGAATGCAAAGTGACCTGTCAGTGGGTAGGGACCATTTCCATGCATTTGGGAGGGAGAAAAGGCACATGCTGTAGCAAGATGCGCTGACGTAGGATGGTAAAAAGAGCCTTCTGGTGACTGTGGTGAGAAAACATGTAAGGTGTCTAGAGTGCTACATCCAGCTCGTGGAGCTGGTCAGTGGCAACAGGGAAGTGGTAGAGTAAAGGCTCCTGTGGCTGAGACACAACCCACGAGCTCTTCTTCATCTGTGGGGGAGTAGGGAAGGCTGGAACAACTGATAGAGAAGAGGACAGGAGGGTTCTTCACCCCACCTCTGGGGTTGCTAACACTTTAAGGAGTATCTGTGTTCTCTAAGGTCAGGAAGAGGCCTTTTAGCATAGTTTGGAGTACCCCTTGTGGAGGGGGCAACAGTCTTAAAAGACGCAAATCCTCAGGTTTCATAGCTCTCCAGTGCCAGGGACACCTCGCTGGCCCCATGCTCCTCCTCTATAGAAGAAGTTGGGCAGGCATCGCTGTATGACGTCACTGTATGACCCTAAGGTCTCCACCAACCCTGACCTTCTGTTACTGTCTGCAGTAGACATTCCCCAGGCCCTTGGTTCTCTTCATGTCATACATCAGTAACTGTGTGCATTTATCATCTGCTCAGCTCTCGGCGGGGAAATTAGAATAGAATAGAACCCAGGCCTTGGCCTCTCGGAAGGGACAGTATAGAAAGAAGAGTTTGCTCTGCGCATACCCTACACTGAAACCCTTGTGCACACAGTGCGCATAGTGTTCCTCACTGTAACTCGTTAAGGTCAGTATTGACCCTGATTATATACAACGAGGAACGCCCGGCTCAGAGGCAAAGCAACACGACCAATGCCACGCAGTCGTGGGGGCTGGACTGGATGGAGCCCGGCTGTCAATAGCACTATTGTCTGTTGTGCAGTCCACAACAGCCCTCTGAGGGTGGCTCTCGGTGTTCTAAGACAGAGCGGGGAAAGCTACAGTCACCCAGAGGAGCTTCTTAGAGGAAAGGCTTAGCTCTGAGCCTTGAAGTCGGGCGCAGCTTGGAGGCTAATGGAGAAAGAAACAGCCCACGTTACTAACTCCATGTCTTCTGAAGGTAGGCAAGAGGAAGGCAGTAAGAGCCCAACCTGTTGGGGGCTCCATGGGAGGAAAGGAGAGCCCATGAAGAGCAGAGGCCTCTCTAAACCCAGCAGAGCAAGCTCTCATTTCTCCACAGGCCCAGCCCCAAAATGAAGTCTGAAAGGACTGATGGCCAATCCTGGCCTCTAAGTAACCACTCCTAGGGCCGTCTAAAGATGTAGCAAGTCCCAGTAAGCCTTCCTCATTGATGGCCATGGAGCCAGACCAGGGGCCACTGCAGTTAACGTTCCCATTTCCAGATTGGGAACAGGTGCCAGGTCCTTAAGTAACCTGCCAGGGTAGCCCAGCTGCTAAGAGACAGATCCCAGATGTGAGGCCAGCCACTCTTCACTATTCTTCTTCTGTTCTGAATTGTAGCCCCACATGCCCTCTCTCCTGGGGGTGCTCTCCCAATCTCAGGTTTAACCCTGCCTGGGGCTCTTCCCAGCCATAAGAGCCCTTCCCTAGTGGGCGGCAGGAGCTATCTATCCCATTAGCCCCTAGCACTGGAAAGGACTAGCACCAGGCAGGTCAGGCCACATGCTCCATCCCCCTCTCCCCCAACCGAGCACCGTTGCCTTCTGTTCACAGTGATGGCTCCTGTGCCCAGGCCGGTGGGGGCATGGAGGACTCCGTGGTGGCAGCGGTGGCAGCCGGCAGACCCAGTGCCCATGCCCCGAAGGCTCAAGCCCCGGAGCTACAGCAGGAGGAGGAGCGGCCGGGGGCGGGGGGCTCCCCACGGGCTGGCCCCCTCCGCGCAGCCTCCCCCGGCCAGCAGCAGCCTGCCCTGGCGACGGCTCTCTGCTCCCACACCCCTGCTGCCTCCGAGTACGAGCTCTCCCTTGACCTAAAGAATAAACAGGTACCCAGGGCCTCCCAGGGGGGGCGGGGAGGGTGGTGAAGGGCCCTGCCTTTTGGGGGCTGTCCAGGGTGCCAGGGACCTGCAGGCCCACTTTCTATGTTTCTCCGCAGCTGAGCTACCTAACTGCCCTAACCCTAGAGCCTAACTTCTCAGGAAGCCATGCTTAAACCTGTGCCTACCTTTACCTGGCAAGGTTCATGTCCTGCGCCACAAGGCCTGGAGCTAGTATGTCCAGGGACTCTGCCCTTTACAAGGTGTGAACCTCTAAGCAAGTAGCTGCCCATCAGGGGAGTCCCCACTTCCGCTTTATCCAGAAGAAATAGCCTTATTGCCACGCCTTCCAAGGGAAAGCCCAATACTTAGGCATGCCTAAGCAAAATAAGGTGCAAGGCCAGTGGCTGCTTATGGGTTGACAGGATTTCCAGGGCTGATGCAGATGAGAGCAATCGGAGCCTCCCTACCGGAAAAGGAACATGGCCTTAAAGGGTGGTGTGATGGTTAGAGTCTATCCAAAAACAGATTTGGCCTCAGAGAGGTAAACATGGGATCTAGTCCTCATGGTTCAGGAATACCCACAAAACACTCTGGGCATTGCTTTCCTCAAAACTAGGAATTAGAGGCCTCCAGTTCCTGCCAATAGCCCCGCCAGCTCCATAATGTGTAGGCCCTAATGAACCAGTCTTGGCCTGTGAGCAAGGCAAACCTCAGGAAGCTAGTCGGATTGAATAGAGTCAAACTAACTTCATTCCTTTGGAGGGACATTGATGCCAAGCTGTCTTCCTGGGTTGGAACCAGCAGTGGGCAATGTGCCCAACTTTTAACAAAGCATTTTGACAAAGTCCTTCCTGATATCTATGTGAAAGGAGAGGATTATACAGATTAGATGACAACACAGACAGGTGGGTTTTTCGAAGGTAGAATTTGTGAAACAGAAACAAAACCTCAGATCATGAGCCTTTTCCGCCTGGTGTCCATTCAGGGAAAGTGGCCACTGTCCTTCATTCTACCGGTTCCCCATTTTGAGGAAGCACTGGATAAAAATATGAAAGTTATAGTTATCAAACTTTCTGATGAGATAAGGCTGAAGGACAGCAGAACTGAATCCAAGATTTGTCTTTTAAATGGACAGAAAGATGTTTCAAATGAAAATAAGTCAGAGAAAATGGGAAATTATCGTCTTGCGATGCCCAAAGCACCAGTATTTTGTATGACCCCCAAAGCAGGAGCCTGGGGCTTTGCCTTGGTGTAAGCTCACAGATTTGCACTGTTTGTGAGGCTGGGGGTGCGAGGTGGGTGTGGCTCAGAGCAGATCCCAGAAAGCCAGTGGCTGCTTATGGGTTGACAGGATTTCCAAGGCTGACACAGATGAGAGGAGTCGGAGCCTCCCTACCGGAAAAGGAACATGGGCTTAAAGGGTGGTGCAATGGTTAGAGTCTATTGAAAAACAGGACAATGGCATGGCTAGCCAGCAGTCCTGTGCCTCACACTCATGCTGGATTGGAAAGGGAGAACTCTGGAAGTCCTGAAGAAGAATAGAATAGGTTGTGGTCATGTAAAGAAACCACTCGAAGACAAATTTGAAATACGAAAGGGCTGAGGTTTGGAAAAGCAAGGAGATACATCTTCCATCCTTCCGGGATAATACAGATCCACTGACATATGAACCCTGCAGATGGAGGACATTTAGCTTAAGGACTTAGACTTAAAGAAGTATAGAGCCTGGCCTGTGCAGACCTGGGCTCTTTATTACTGATGAAGCTCAGGACAGTGTGATGTGGGGGCATGGGCTAGCTGTGAGCATCCTCACAACCCCACAGGTCTCTCCACTCCTCTGGGACAGGACCCATCTTTGGTACTCTTCCCCCCAGCAAAGTGTCTTGGATGTAGTACGTACTGATAGAGTGGATATACTTTTAATAATTATTACACATGAAGCAACAAGCAGTGGGGAATGGAGGGGAAAAGTCAGGTTTCTTTAAACCCTGGAGTGATCACAGTCACATTTAGAATCCCCTCAGCTAAACCGAAGAAAACCTGGCCCGAGCAGGAGAAATTAGTAAAAAAAAAAAAAAAAAAAAAAAAAAAGGCAGCTGACGCGGTGGGAAATGGAGAATTGTGGGGAGATTCCGATCAGAGAGGTGACTTGTTAGTGGCGAAGCTAATTCTAACACATGGGATTGCATTGCAGGCCACTAGGGCTGAGTGAATAGACCGTGTGAATTCAGCCTGAGCAACAGCCAGCCTCCTGTGAACTTCTGTATCTTTCTAGACCAGCCATAGGTAAGGTAAGCAGGAGGAGAAGAAGGCAAAGGGGACAGAGGAGGCGGAGCAAGGTAGCTGAAAGATGGCACACACTTACAGTAGACTGAAGTCCTCTGCTAAAGAGCTATTTGGCCTTGGGCAACCTGTTCTCCTTCTCTGGGCCTCAACTACGTCATATATCGGGGGAGCCTTGCACAATGCCCCCTTTGCCTCTGGCTCTGCTGTTCTTCCTTCTGCCCTTGGCCTCTTTCCAGTCTGTTGGAGGTATGGCCTTGCCTCTCTGGAAGCTTCGCTTGCTTCTCATCTTTATCCCCACAGCACCTGGTATTAAAAAGATGTTCTGTGGTGGAGCGCTCACATAGCTTGTAGGGCTCTGGGTTTGATCCCCAGCACCACAGTGTAGTGAAATTAAGCCAGGGCAGAGGGGCATCTTAATGAAATCCTGTTTCTTAAAGAAAAAAAGGAAGACGTATGAAAATATCACAATGGAACCCGACACTTTTTAGGCCGACTTAAAAGTTAATTTTAAAATGTTTGAAAATATCAGAGGTATCAAGGGGGGGGAATCAAAAGAAAAAGGAGATGTTCAGAGGATGAAAGGAGAAAGAATGACTTTGTGACAAAGAAGGATGGGGATGGGCGTGAAGCCTCAGCTGGGTTCTAACTGCTTATGACTCTGACAGGGAGGGTTTTAGCATTCTGACCCTGCAGTTACCCACTATCATATGGGATCCGGCAGTTCTCAGGCTTGGGGTTTCCATGGATTCCTGAGTCCTCCCATTCCCAGGTTTCCCTGTCGGCCAGGCTACACCTAGAAGCATTTATCTGGCTCCTTGTTACCTTCTACCCTTACTGACACTGCCTCTCACTTCTTCCCACCCCCACCCTCTCCACCACTCCACTTTAAGCCAGGCCAGCTTGCCTCTTGCCTGCACCTCTGGGTCACCTCCCACAAGCTCCAGCTTCCGCTGTGCCTCTCCCACCTGGCCTCCACAGCAAGCGCTGAGTCATCCCTGCAAAGGGAGCTTCTGATCATGCTGCTCTCTGCTTGAAACCCTTGACGGCTGCCTTTGTGTGCGCTACAAAAGCTTCTCTGGCTCCCCTGACACACACCCAAGCCCACTTCAGGGTCCCTGCTGTTCCTTTTCACAGCCCCTGAATCCCCTAGCTACCCCTTGCCTCTGGCCCTTCTTCACGCACGCTGCTTCCTCCACTGGAAGACCCAAACCCAAGCTGGTTCCGATGTTCTTCTCAGGTGGTCTCCGTTTATCCTGAGGTCTCATCCAGAAGCTCCAAGCTGGGGGAGCACTTGTAAGGAGTGCCCATGGCTTACACTGCTGTCTTGTAACCAGCTGCACTCACACAGACAAGGGCCGCGTTGTTCTCTGGCTCCCGCAGAGTTGGGTGGACTGTGCTTTGAGCACTCACGGCGTGAGGGTTGGGGTAGAGGCAGGAGCTGTACAGTCATAGTACAATCTACACGGAGAGCTAGTGGTCCCAGGACTGCTACTCTGCCCTCGTCCACAGTTCTCCTGCACTCTGCATAGTCCCTGGATTCTAGGAAATGCTCAGCCTGGAATAAATGAGTGAAAGACATCTGCCCCAAGTTTGCCTGCATCTCCCTGGCTCCTTCCCCAAGACCCTTCCCCAGGAAGAGGGCCTCTTACACTATTCCGTCACCCTCTGCTCTTTCTTCAGTGTTGTTCACTTCCTTTCGCAATGATTCTTGGGGCTACAGTCTAGGAACAGAGAGACAGAAAGAGTAAGCATGTTGGGTTCCATAGGGGTGCCCTTTGGGAAAGCAGCTGTGGTAAAGGGTACATACTCCATACCCTCCATACTATGGGAGGTCCAGTGTGATTCCCAAGTCCTCCAGCTCGCCAAGGAGTTTGCACCCTGTTCTCTTGTTGTGGCTGCTAAATAGGCCATCTTGGCTGGCTGTCCAAATTTGTAGAGCTCCCTGATCTGGCCTAACCTCAGGGCCATGGAGCTGCGGTCCTCCACTCCAGGATCCATAGATGCCACATTCTGTCTCCCTTCTTGGCATATCTTCTACACCCCAAGCTTTCATGACCAGCCTAGGGCACCTTGCCAAGAAGTGGATGGCTACTTTTCTAAATCACCTTTCCTCCCTAAGCCTGTTTCCTCATTTGTGGGCCCAGGGGGTGCACTGAGGTGTCTCTAGGCTCTTCTCCCTCCAGAGGAGAGATTTTGCCATGAGTAAGAAGGGAACCAGAGGACCAGGCTGCAGAGGGTGGGGTTGAAGATAAGGCCACACAGAAGGGATACCCCACTTGGCTTCATTCTCAGAGAAAGGTGTCACACCATCATTCTCTGCTCACTGCGAGACCTGGTGACACCATCATGCAAAACACACAACCCTTTGGTCACAAAATTAGTCATCCTGTGGTGGATGATGACATGTAGGTGCCACCTAGGGCTGTCTGAGCACTGGCTGGCTGTCAGGAACAGTGTTGAGCCTTTGCCCTACATCATTTCCCAGATCTTCATATTGTTACAGTACCATAGTATGGAAGATTTAAGATCCACGGTCTTAACCTGGCTCCTTCCTATCTCTGGCCACCTCAGTAATCTACTTTTATAGGCTCCACAGATCAATGCGCACAGCCTGAGCTGCTGTTCCAAGTGGGCTCTGCAGCAGTGAGCGCTGCACTGAGTGGGGCGGGGTCTCTGTTCCCAGCCTGATCTTTGAGTTTGCTTTGCCAAGCCCCAGAAAC